AATCGTTTAAAATAGATAGAAACATGACCGAGGATATGATTTTTAACAAGTATAGTGAGGAAATCAGTCAAAACCCCCGAAGAGTTCAAATGGTTGGCACGAAGCCCAAATATGGCAATTAGCCCAAATCATGATGATAACAAATAAGTTTCAGTCAAATACGCGGTAAAATCATCAGTCGGGACGGACCAAGTCTCAATCCTTAGTAGTAAAAGACCCCACGCTCATCATCCAACGCGTGTCTCACCTCAATATAGCACTACGATGTGCAATCCAGGGTTTCAAACCCTTAGGACATCATTTACAATCATTACTCACCTCGAACCGGCTACAACTCTAGCTCGCGACGCCTTTTCCCCTCGAATTGGCCTCCACGTGCGTCGAATCTAACCAAAAGCAGAACAAATACGTCACAATATGCTAAGGGAACAAAGCCCAAGCGAAAACAATCGAAAAATATCAAAAATCCCGAAATTACAAAACCCGAGCCCTGGGCCCACTTCTCGAAACTCAGAAATTTTTACACCAACGGGTTCCTTATCCTTCCACGAGTTCATACATATCAAAAGTTTTCAAATCCGATCTCAAATTGTCCTTCAAATCCCAATTCAAAAGTTCAAAATCCCAAGCCCTAGTTCTTCCATTTTTAGCTTAAGTTCCATGAATTTCTAGGTTAATTTCACAGTAGAATCACGTTTTAGGTTCAAAAATCTTACCTCCAATCAGTTCTCCTTGAATCCCTCTTCAATCTCCCTCAAAGAGCTCCCAAAATGATCAACTATGGAGGAAAAATGGCTCAAAATCGCGGATGAAATGTTTTATAAACTTACTGCCCAGTTCTGGTATTCCTTCATTGCAATCGCGAAGAGCAAAATTCCACGACTCCAAAAATACACTATGCGAACGCTACCCAATTGATGCGAACGCGAAGAACAAAACCACTGGACCCCCAAATACTTATACGCGAACGCGAAACACTGCATGCGAACGCGAAACACAAGATCAAAGCCCTCCGCGAACGTGAAGGCTAAACTCAGGCCAACCCAAAATCCTTCTACGCGATCGCGATGGACCCTACGCGATCGCGAAGGCTTAAAACCTGCAACATCTGATCAGCCAATTCTGCAACTTCTCAAAGCCAAAAATGGTCCGATTGACCATCCGAAACTCACCTGAGGCCCGCGGGACCTTAACAAAAAACACCAACACATCCTAAAACCTCATTCAAACTTGCTCCAATCATCAAAACACCTCAAACAACATCAAATTACCCAAAATTTATCGGATTCAAGCCTAAGTTTTCTAAAAACTTCCGAAATACGCTTTCGATCAAAAACCTAACCAAACCATGTCCGAATGACCTGAAATTTTGCACACATCAAAAATGACATAACGAAGCTACAACAACTCTCGGATTTCCATTCCGACCCTCAAAATCTCGCCTAACAACCGGAAATCGCCAAAATACTAACTTCGCCAATTCAAGCCTAATTCTACACCGGACCTCCAAAACCAATCCCGATCATACTCCTAAGCCATAAATCACCTCCCGAAGCTAACCGAACCATCGGAACACTCATCCGAGCCCTCTAACACACAAGTCAACATCCGGTTGACTTTTCCAACTTGAACCTTCTCAAAAGAGACTAAGTGTCTCATTTCTTACCAAATCCACTCCGAACGCAACCTACTCAACTCGATCATATAAAACACGGATAACGAAGCATAATAAAGCATAAATGGGGGAAACAGAGCGGTAACTCACGAGACGACTGGCCGGGTCGTCACATTGTGTAAATCTTTTCACACTTCCGGATGCAATGCTGTTCCGCTCCTAAGGTGCTTCTAAATTGCTGATATAGTTGCAGAACTTGGAGTTGCCACTTTAGACTTTCTCCGTATATATTTGGGTAGACAAGAAGTATATGGGTCTCAGATTTATTTCTCCAATTCCAATTTCCCCTTCTACCCTTGGTTTGTCCGCAATCAGTAAATCCACCTATTCTAGTTAAACTTTCAGAACATAGGATAAAAGTCAATATATATTGCTTATTTCCTAGTATATTTTTCAGTAATTTGACGTTGTTGTGCATGGAATAATAAAAGAACTCTCGAGAATGAAATCTTTTTTTTTAAACATTTAACATATGTTGTCGTGCTCGAGAATGAAGTCATTGTCTTCATGTTAAGTTGTCATATGAAGTAATGATGTAGGATTTATTTTCTCGTAATATTCTGTTTCAGGGTTCATATATGCAGCACAAAGAAATCAAGGCTGCACAGGGAATAAAGATCAATGCTCAGGTAATGTCATTTGCTTTTAAATGTGTGTTCTTTACTTCTTTCTGTTTTAAGTTATGTTTTTGGTCACGTTCAGAGCTTGGAAAGGTTATTGGGTAAGAAAACTGGTGCATCGGCAAATATGTTGAGTGATTTGTTGTGTGCACCGGCAAATATGTTATTTTAGGAATTAGGATTGGATGATATTATATCTTGGAGCCTAAGTTGCTTTCCTTTCTTTTAAAAAGAAAAAATTGTATATTTTCCCTGGCATAACTGGGATAGAGGAGGGGATTTACTGGATATTGGTTAGAATCTTGTTTACTTCTAAAACGAGCAACTTTGTAAGGATTTTGGAGGATGCTTAAATTGCTCTAAGAAATGGTAGGCGAAAGTGTTGTCAAAGGCACACTTAAAGCGCGCTTAAGCCCTGAAGCGAGGCGCAAAACATGTTGAGCGCTTCACCTCTCTTAATGGGCGCTTTAGTGTCGTCATCAAAGTTCTAAGGCATACTTTCCCTTGCCAATGAGCACTATCTTGAAGAGCCAACACTATACAATTGATAATTCACTTTACCATTTTTTTTTTTCTTTTCAATTTCTTTGTCCATATAGTTGTTATTCATGCTTATAAGTTTTAGTCTCTGACTACACATACATTTTTGTATCTTTTTCTCCATTTGTGCCTTTCTTCATAAAAGCTCATGCTTTCTGCGCTTAAAACCCCAATGAACCTTAGAGTTTTTTTGCGCTTTTCGCCTTTGATAACACTGGTATGCGAAAAAGTCATTTCTTTCACGTTTCATTTCTTCCTTTTCTACTGGTTTTCTTTTGTCCATAAATAGATCTGCAACAAATTTGTTATGAAAAAAATTGCTGAAAATGAGAATATTATTGCAGTTAGGGCCTTATCACCCCCCCCCCCCACACACACAAAAAAAATCATGGTTAGGGAAGAGATCTCCTTACTTTTTCATATGTTAATCTTTGGGAGTATCTCTAATGAATGTTTATGGGAGTTAATTGTCTGACATGTTGATACTAGTTTCCTGATTTTGACAGAGATTATTCAACTTTTCTTGTGTCTGTTTTGTTAGTTGAATGATATTTGACATTGACACAAACTAGTGAGCCACTTCATAAGAGTTCTCTTTATTTGTTTTCTGGGGATGATGCAATCATTTACTACCATTTTAGTATCTACCGTTTAGAATCTTTATTATTAGTGTACAGTGGTTCCTCCTTGAAGTTGTGTGATTGAAAGCATTCCCCCCTTGTTCCACTTGGTTCTTTCATTCTTGTGCAGGGGCTTGAGCATGCAATTGCTGGAACTAGTCTATATGTTGTGGGGCCTAATGATGACGTGGAAGACATCAAAGAAGCAGCTATGGAAGATATGAGGTCGGTGATGAACAGGATTGATAAAAGAGGAGAAGGAGTTTATGTTCAAGCATCTACACTTGGATCATTGGAAGCTTTGCTGGAGTTCTTGAAAACTCCCGAAGTAAGCATACCTGTCAGTGGAATTGGCATAGGCCCTGTGCATAAGAAGGATGTCATGAAAGCTAGTGTAATGCTTGAGAAGAAGAAAGAGTATGCAACAATCTTGGCCTTTGATGTGAAAGTGACACAAGAAGCTCGGGAACTTGCGGATGAAGTTGGAGTCAAAATTTTTATTGCTGATATTATTTATCACCTGTTCGATCAGTTTAAGGCCTACATCGACAATATCAAAGAAGAAAAAATGAAGGAAGTTGCTGAAGAAGCAGTCTTCCCCTGTCTGCTCAAGATCGTACCTAATCACGTCTTTAACAAGAAGGATCCAATTGTTCTAGGAGCTGATGTTCTTGAGGGCATCGTCAAGGTATTAACTTTTGCATCCCTATATCTTGGTTCATGGAATCTCATTCACCAAACATACAAAAATAACAGATTCTCTGAAGCCTGTCCAGGAAATGTGGTAATATCAGCAGGCCTATACGAACAAACAATTGGTGATTTATATTTGTTTTCTCTAATTGACACTTCCATTGGGTTGGGAAAAGGATCTTGCATGCTCACATTTGTTTCCTGGTTAAAATCACATTTATTTCCTGGTTAAAAGTGTAACTTCCTGTTGTCTTATAAAGCTGTTCTGACATAAAAACAGGCTTATGTATCAGTATCTCTGTAAGTATGCCCATACTATTTTATTAGCTGAAACTACGCTGTGGTCATGGTTTTGGACTGTTAATTTACTTGTTGTGTGTTCGGATGTAATTTTCTTAAATTAGTTGAAGTTCTCTATGATTTCTTATAAGTGATTTCCTTTCTTCTTTTCTTTGGATTGGCCAACACTTGTAAAACTTAGGTTTGCATGTATCTGTTTCTCTGTAATTCTTCTGAAAAGTTAAGTTTACGATTTTGGTTACATAAGCCTCTTTTGGAAGCTATAGCTAGTGGTATCAATAGAATCTAGGTTACTGCTGGTTCTTATTTTTATAGTTCCCTGTTATTCTCTGTCAAAAAGTTTTTGAGCACACCCCAATGTTCTTTTGTACCTTGCTTTTGTATGCCCGAGCTTGGGGTTTTTACTTTGTTTTGTCTAAGAGATGTTTAATTTACATGGGTACTGCCAGATTTCCTTCTAATTGCTAAGTGGCCATTTTCCTGTCATTGATTTTCTCATACTTTTGACCTTTGCTGCGCACTTAACAAGTTATCGCAGTCAAGAGTTGTTTGCATTTTCTTAATTCTCTTCTCCCTTTTTTTAATAATGTGCAATACTGTTCTCCCATTCACATCTGTGTTTCATGTTTCGTTGTTCTTTTGTTGAGTGGTTTACTTGGATTAAGCTTTCCACTGTTAACATATTTGACAGTTGTAGAGCCAAATGCTCTTTTATCCATCTTCGTTCGTAGAATGCATATGCTTCTTAATGTTGAGTCCTCATTTTGATGAACTTAATTTGAATAGGTCGGGACTCCAATATGTATTCCACAGAGGGAATTCATTGATATTGGTCGGATCGCATCCATCCAGAACAACCATAAGCCTGTTGATTATGCCAAGAAAGGACAGCAGGTGGCCATTAAGGTATGAAGCCACGTCAGTTGATATCTATTTGCATAAATTGATAGAAATGTGCTGACAATTTACTTCATGAGTTCTTAGCAACTTGGATAATTTTTGCTTCTATGCACATAGGTTCTCATCTTGTGCCTTAAATTGCAGATAGTTGGGACTAACCCGGAGGAGCAACAGAAGATGTTTGGTCGGCATTTTGATATTGAAGACGAGCTTGTTAGCAAAATCTCGAGAAGATCCATTGACATTCTCAAGGCCAATTTTCGGGTACGTAAATTTACCTTCTGGTGAACCTCCCTTTCACAAAGATTCTTGCTCCCTTTTGTTTAGGCTAACGCTCACATTTACTTGTTGCGTCTTTAAAACTCTACAGAACGACTTGTCTGTTGAAGATTGGAGGCTCGTGAAGAATCTGAAGACCCTATTCAAGATACAATGAGACGTTTCTAAGCTTTGCAAGTAGCATAGGTTTTGGATTTTTGTGGCACTGTATCGGGGTTCAGCAGTTCATCGGACAATAAGCAGTTATTTGGTTAGGAGGTAGGGAGTTTGGACTCGAGATAGAAAGGATGCGTAGTGCATTCTTTGTCGGTTGATTGTTGAATCGAAACAATGTAACTGGTTAGTTTCAGTTGCAATAGTATACAGGTGTTTTGGTACTGAGAATTTTTGTAGTTTTGGCCAATTTTAGAGCTCAGTGTTTTTCTACAGGGGCGTAAAATAAGAGATTATATAAAAGAAATATGAGATATGGCGTACTATATCTTGCTATTGCTTCCAAATAAAATTTCTTGGAATTTTATTCTTTAGCGTTCTTTCAAATGTTTGTCTACTATTTTATTATTCTAGACTCTAGAGCAGTGTCTTACTTTTTTTAAAAATTGTATGTCACTTTAGCAAGGAAGATGCTGATAAAAGGCCAATAGCATGATGTTAGTTTTTTTCAAAATTATCCTGTATAGCCAATCAACTACTATCCTTCCTCTATAAAACTGGAAGGAAAAAATATCCTCAAAGTAACTACAAGTAGGGGTGTACATAGGCCGGGTTGGTTCGGATTTTACAATTACCAAACCAAATTAATTGGGTCGGATTATTAAATCTAAAGACCAAACCAATAAAACTCGGATTTTTCAATTTCGGTTTTTCTTGGGTTTTCTCGGATTTTCGAGTTATTCGGGTTTCTTCGGTTTTTTTTTTCCGGTAAAATCTTCGTAGAACAAAACATATAACTTGTGCGCAAAATATTTTTTTAATCCTAGTAAGATACAACTATATAAAGTATTTTCCAAAAAAATAATACAAAATATGAGATTTGTCATGGCATTATCCTAAAATATTCAACAATAAAGACAAGAAAATTATGTAATATAAATATTGCTAATTAAAAAGCCATAATAAAAATAAACATAATCTAAAAGTACTAAGTCATGCTAAAATAAGTAAACTAATAAGGGAGTATTAATTACATGACTAAATGCTAAAGAAAAAATAAAAATAGGTTATGCATTTTTATCTAAATTATTGCAAAACAAAAAATAGATATTCAAATACATTCCGATTCGTAGTATTGAATTGAATGTCTTTTGTTAGCAATAATATTGATTTGGACTTTTGTTAGCATTATTTAATTTTCTAATATTAATGGCTATAAAACTTATTGGAACATTCAAAAGTTCTAAGTCCAACCTTGAAATAATACATTAAAAGATAAAATTATGAAATTTTTTAAAAAATATTTATAAATTACATCATAATAAGTATATTTATATATTAAATATATCTAAAATTTCTATATATGTAATGTCGGGTTGGTTTGATTTCGGTTTGACTTTCTTTAGTTAAAGCCAAACTAAACTAATTATGATCGATTTTTTTTTTCAACACCAAACCTAATCAAACCAAACCATAGTCGGGTGTTTTTTCTCGGTTTGACTCGAATTATCGAGTTGTTGCGGTTTGTCTTTTTCTTTTGTACGCCCCTAACTACAAGTTCAAATTACGACCTTTTCATAGTTAGTATTTCCTCCCACAACAATTGAAACCATAACTGATGTTATTAGAATCACAGGAAAGAAAAAAAAAAAAAAAAAAAAAATCA